ACTAACTAACTAACTAACTAACTAACTAACTAACTAACTAACTAACTAACTAACTAACTAACTAAACATTCTTTAAAGAACTCTGGGTATGTTAAGGAGTGTTGTGTAAATTTAATTCAATTGTAAATAAAACGTTTTCTCAAGAGAAGGGGTTATCTGTGGAATCAAAGTGGGCGTGTCACAAGAGTGGGTGTGTCTAAAGCACAAACACTGTGGGCTACGAGGCCTACATGACAGTATCCTTAGATCCTGCTTGACCTCTATAAAGCCTGACCCTGACACCAACACTAAGGTTAACCAGGAGAAATGTGACCCAAGTAGGGGTCTCCAGAAAAAGTGGTGCCGTACAGTAACGCCTCTTTTGTTCTTGTCCAATCAGGTGGTGCCGTACGGTGACGCCCCTTTTTTTGCTTGTCCAGTTAGGTGTGTCGCTTTAAAAAAGTTTGTCAAATCAGGTGTGTCGCTTTACAATCGCCTTTCGTTGGGACACGCCCACTCGTCCACAGAGATCTCTACTTGACTGTAGTGGACCGGTCTGGAAGCAGGAGGGGGGGCGGGGCTTAAAGTGTCTTAAAGAAACAGTAATAAAGCGAACTGCTTTGAGACACACAGCAGAAAACAGGTGAAAGAGGAGCTGGTAAAGTTAGAATAAAAAGGAATTCAGACCAAAGCATTGCAGTCGGACTTTATAAAGACCCAACTGAATGATTTAAATGAGAAAAGGAWGGATTTAAAAGCAGGATATGTCCAATTTAAAGCACAAAAGTACTTTTACTTCTTTGATCATTGTGAGCAGTTTTATGACTTTTCTTATCAGTGACATTTATTTTTTCCAGTCATTTTCTGTTGAGGTATTTTTACTTAGTTATTTCTTTCAAGTGCTTTATAGACCTCTGATTTTCTGCAAGCGTAGGAAGAAGATATGAGTTTTTGGAACTTATAAATAAAAGGTTTTGCGTGTTTTGTGTTACAGACTGATGAGTTCTTCACTGTTCAGAATATATTTTACATCCCAGCAGAGCATGTTTGTCTGGAGTCCACCAAGTTCATATGCCCAAATTTGTTCCAGACGTTAAATAATCAGCGGCGTGCTTCGACTATTTTTTTTTCATCAGTGACAGTGCAGACCCCATTCCTTCCCCCTCCCTTCAGGTCTGATTGCCAACAGCAACACGACTGAATAATCTGTCTTAGCTAGTTGTTTTGTTCCTTTAATCACTTCACAGGCAGGAAAAAAAACTAGTCTCCAATTCACAAGCATTAATTGTGACGGTTCCGTCTTGTCCCAACCTGGTGCTCAGCTCCCTGACCGCAATCAATTCAACATGTCCGTCTTTCTGTATACATTTTCCTTACATTCCCCAAAGGTCTCCTGCTCCGGCCTCCACCAAAACCGGGCTTTTTACAGGAATAGTTTGGCAGCTGACGAGGGCTTGCAGCGCTACGCAGCAGTTTGATTCCTTTTTTGGTTTTGTTCTGGGCATGTCAAGCAGAAGCACCCAGCCCGTCTGCTCCAGAAGAAAGGAAACACACTTAATATCCCTCTCCCCTCTGCCTGTTGCTTCACTGGATCAGCAAAGACTTTTTCTTTTTGTTTGGTTTTGACACATTCTAGCAGTATAGATCGATATTTTCAATGGATTCCTTTATAAAATGTTTATCACTTGGGGTTATAAACTAACATCATCTCTGAGAGAAGGGATAGAGTTATATCCATATTTGTCAAACTTTAAAAATGACATGCCTCATGTGACAAAGCAAGTTTCCTRCACTTACAACCTTTGTGTTGTTGAGCTCAATAAGTGTAAAATTGCCTGAGTTATAGTTTCTGTTAGCCTGGTAAAACCCTCCCCTTATTCTACTCTTTGCTTCATACAGAGGTCTGGACTCTCGGCTATTGAGAAATGATTTCTTGCTGGAGGCGTGGACTCTGTTGTAGTTTAAAATGACTGAATCTGATTTACCCAATCGCTAACGTTGCGCCAGCTAAGGCTGATTAACTGTGGCAGCCATCTTGAACTGGGTGTTAAAAGTTAATCAGTTGTAGTTGAACATCTAAGGACTCCTTTCTGATGGTTAAAATAAACAGATATTATAATAATATGACAAAAAACAAAAACAGAGACAGGCAAAACATTATTCCTGCACTACACTGGCTACTCCCATCATAAAGTAGGAACTTACTCACTGTTTTTTCTTACAAAATGTATTGTCCGGTGGTATACTCCCAGAGTTTCACAGCTCTGTCAAGACATTCAYGATGACTCAGCATTAAAATGACCTGACAGTAGACTTCCACCCAGAGGTGTCAAAAGTATTCACATTCATTACTTATGTAGAAGTATAGATACTAGGGTTTAAAATACTTTTTTGAAAGTAGAAGTATCAACTCAAGCTATTTACTCAAGTAAAACTATAAAAGTACTGGTTTTAAAACTACTTAAAGTATAAAAATAAATGTAATGAAAACTTAAAAAAGGGTTCTAYTGATTTCCAACCAGGGGTACATGGAAAAAACTTCCCAAGTGTGTAAAAGAATAAAATAAAAATAGGACTAGGATATGATTTCCACAGTGTGGAAAATGAATCACGGAATTGACACAAAATGGAATCCAGTATAAAACACAGAATCTCATGGAATTTGTTAATTTGGGCAAGTTTCTGATGTATTTTGGACACTAGTGTTTTCTGCACCTGGTTTATTTATTTAATTACTCATTCACTTTCAAGGTAACATTTTAATCTTTGTTTAATTTGAGTTGAAAAGAATTAAATTCCTGAGAATTAAAAAAAAAACCCCAAAC